GGGGGTCTGATGTGAAGGGGGCTCCTGTATTAAAACCCATTTTTTGTGTGTTTTTGCATGGGGTCCCTCCTTAAAATCCATACTAAACCTCTATCTGAGATAAGGGTCTGGTATGGATTTTGGAGGGACCACATATCATTTTTTCACATTTACCTTAATACATTTTAGACTGGGGTGCCTCAAGATTTTGCATACTTTTAAAAAGTGTCATGACTGAAAAAAAGTTTAAGAAATGCTACTTCAAATAACCCATAGGTCTAGGAAACTTTAATCCTGAACTGCAAACGTGTATTTGTTAAATAAAGATTGCATATAGATAGTAAACTGCATTTAAAACAACAGTTTAAAAACTTGCAAATTATTTTTAAAAAAATAATATAAAATTACACAAAACTATTATATTTTTCCTGTAACCCTTTAGTTGCTGCAGCAGCAGTACTGCCTTGCAAACAAACTCCCAGCTTTTAAAATAGCCAAGAAGTTCCATGCTAAGTGGTCTACTCTTCTTGTAGAAGTAATCTGAGCATTAGAGATATTCTATTAATAATGATTATGATCACAATACCTGATTACATTTTTGGGAGTGTACATTGCCTATGTTTACCTTTTAGATTTTTGATCAGCATGAACACAAGGTCACATATGACAAAGCAGTTTTTTTTTCCGCCAGGGTTCCTTTAGGGTTCCATGTTCTGGAGCCATACCCATTCTTCAGAGTCTGACTCTGAAGAAGGGGCATATACCTAAAATATGAGATACAATTTAGGCCCCCCTTCTCCACCAGCTTGGATTGTGTTTGTATGTTACTTCCTTTTGGTTTCCCCAGTGTACATCTCAGAGCATCCACCTTGGTTTGTATTCTATTGCCACTAAGCACCAGGATCTATTTGAAGTCAACAGTGAATACATTGTCTGCAGTAGAGCCTAGGCCCCTCTTACCTGTGCTACTGCACCAGCAAATATGAGAGTCCAATCCAGCATCCATGAGCAGCCGGGAACTAAAAGACCATAGATGGACACACACAGGAATGGAAGCAGGTAGAACATGTTGACCAACATCTGGCAAGGATAAATAACTGTTACAGAACAGCAGCTTGTTGTATACTCACATCAATATTCAATATAAAGCAACATTTCTAATAGCTGTTGAACACTTTTATGTCTTTACAGCAGCTTTAGGTATGTAACCTATTTAAAGCTTACATGAAACCTGTACCCAGAGACATAGCTAGCGCCAGAGGCAAGAACAGAAAATTGTAGCAACAACCCCCCAACGCAGGACAACGCTGGGGAGTAAAACAGATTTTGGTGACGGGAACAGAGTATGGGGACATGGAGTGATAAGGACAGAGCAGGGGAGTAAAATTGAATTTTAAGGGGTGATGGGACAGTGCATGGGGACATGAGGTTATAGGGACAGAGAAGGGGAGAAGGGGAGATTTTTAAGGGGGTGATGGGGACAGGCAGATATCATTTGAAGTAGGGGACAGAGCAAAGAGAAGTAAAAGGGATTTTTTAAGGGGTGATGGGGATAGAGCAGGTTATGGCAGAAAATACTCCCAATGCGTTAGTATTGACATTCCTCTTGTGATCCAGATCAGTGCATTTGTACTTATGTATCTTTGCCAAACATCATTGAATTCACTGAATTTAAGTGCTAACTATACATACAGGATACCAATTGCGTACTTCATGAGGGGATAGAGCAGGTTATGGCAGTAAATTATCCAAACTACATATTTAGTTAACTCTCCTTCTCTTTCATCCCCAAGTCTTCTTCCATCTCTCAGCACTTTTTAGCTCTGTGTGTGGGGTATAGAGGGAGAGGTCATGTGAGGGTCAAAGGTGTGATGCTTCATTGGCTGGTGCACAGAGTTTTAATCTGGCTTTAAGCAACATCAGCTGACAGGCAATTGCCGGCTGGGAACTTCGTGCATTAGCCAATAAGTGAGTCAGCACTGCAGCTGCCATCAACGCCTCACCTCCTGGGAACCAGCCAATATGCAGTGGCGCTGCATGGGTGTCCACTGGTTGCCTCTATGATAAACTGAAGCGATCAGCGCTGCAGCCGCTCTCAACTCCCCACACCTGGGAACCAGCCAATAAGCAGCAGAGCTGCACATGAGTGAGATGGTAATGTGAGGTGATCAGCACTCCATCCAAAACCCAAAGAACCCACCCACTTCTTACCCCCACTGGGCACCAGGACCCGGCTGCGCCCCCTCGCAGCTGCACCTAGGCAAGTGCCTCATTCGCCTCACCATTCATACGGCCCTACCTGTACCATCTTCACAAAGTAAGGAGGAGAAGGAATGCACCCTGGAGCACCCTAAACTGCAGTCAGAGATGCTACCAGGGGATGTGTGAAGCCAAAAACATGATTTCTACCTGTTTATTCAGTTTTACCACACAAAAGACAACATAGATTGATGAGTACATTCCTTTAACTACCTGCTGTCCAGTGCAATTTCTTAATATTTGCACACACATGATAAAATATGATTTTTTGGCTAGAAAACAGCTTAAAACCCCCAACAATAATATATTTAAAATGCTAGTTGCAATTTTCTATGTTGCACGGTATTTGTGCAAATGTTTATCAAACCAGCATTATTAGGATAAAATATACAAAAATGAATTTTAGTACACAGAAACAGAATGGAATACCCATTTTTTTTGGGGGGGGGGGGGAAAAATATAAAACATGCATCGGGTAAATAGATACCAAAATGTCAAGCCTTAAAATTGTGTGCGCCTGCAAAACCGCTAAAAAACTACTATACCCAAAATTTCCCATAGGCAATGATTTAAAAGCTTCATCAGTTTAGTAATAAATGTGATTGATGGCCCTAGAATTATTGCTCCTACTCTGACGTTTGCGGTGATATGTAACAATGCAATTTTCGATTTTGCACGTAGGCGCACCCGCTGCGTGTTTGGGCTTGTATGTGCATGTACCAGGGGGTAGGGGACTTTAAGAAAACAATTTTGGCATTTTTTATATATAACTTTAATTTTGTTTTTTTTACACATTTAACTTTATTGCTATCACATAGGGGGTTAACGAGATCCTCTTTATGGAGACATCAGAGGTATGTCAGACCGTTAATGTCAACCGAGGTTCCCCAAAGAAGCTGATGAAGCAGCGATCTGCTTTACCAGCTTCTTCTCCTGGCTACAGGATACGGAGACATTTCAGAGTGATACGGGAAGTGATGTAATACACATCACTTTTGGGTCCAGTGATCAGGACAGATTTGCAACTGAGTGTGCTGATCTCCCTCTGATTGTAGAGGAGAGACCCGCCGTGCCAGTCCCAGGCCCGCACGTGGGACAGCGGAGCTAGGGGTAGCCGGCTGCAGCAGCAGATGGGGGGAGCACACTCAGCGGCAGTGTACAAGCGATCCGGCAGCTGTATACACTCCTGATCGCTTGTATGTGAACAGCCTTCGCCAGCTGTTTAAAACAGTACCATGTTCATGGCTGCTGCAGTGTTATGTATATATAAAAAAAAGAATGAGCTCTTACCTGAACCTTAGAATAGGCAGCTGGGTCCCTTAGGTATGGCTCATACTGGTAGATGTAAGTGAAACAATAGTCCGTAGGGCAATCCAAGACCAGCTATGAAGATAAAAGAAGGCACTTGGTAAAATCACATGAAAAAAAACAAAGTACATGCACTTTAGTTACTAATATAGACTTGAAGTTCTATTTTGCAAGTAAAAAGCCTCTTCTATTTTTCCTTATTTTAAAATAAAATACATCTACTGTCTCCATGCACCAAATCTTACTGCCATGATTTCCAGTTCATAATATTTAGTGCAGACTACACCGGGGCTCAAACAAACAACCCACTGAAAAAAATTCCTTGTATGTACAGCGAAAACTCCACGATTTCCTGAAAAGTAAAACGGATTACTATTACTTGGGTCTCCCCCATTGGACTATGCCTGGCTACATCTGGACTCCCCGTGAATAGCATATTTACATACATACAGAATTTAATTGGAACCGTACTTACGTACGGTGACCTAGGGATTGTTTCTTAAAGGTAGCATGCATTGCAACAATAAAACTATCAGCAGCTCTGGAGAAGATTAGATGCTCCTGGGTTCTGTTTTTTTGTGGAGGTTCTTCTGTTTACACAGGAAAGTGTTAACACTACCTAAATATCTAGAAAACAAGCCAAGCATTGTGCCTACACAAAATACCTATATCACTAAAACTGTCAGACGTCACCTGTTATGGTAAAACAAATATCCCCAATGTCCTGACGAAGCCCGGACTGTAATGCCTGGACTAAACCCCTAATAGAGAAGATATACCTTACTGGACATCCCGACTTATGGCTTATACCACCTTCGAATCACCAAAGATTCACCAAAGATAACATCACATGGATATCGCTAAACCCCTGTGAGTGCAAAATACCCATACCAAGGATTAATACGCAGGATCGTGTCCCCCGCGCAAAAAAACGAATAAAACCCTCCGTTTCCCTCCAAGTGGAGAGGTAAGCTACACATGAAAGAGACGGCGATCTGGATATCTGGATATGTGAGTAAAAGATTTTTCTTAAAATGCAAAAAATCTGTGTCTACACTAGACATAATATATAGAAAAGGACACACTGTGCAGAGAGCAAAGAAAGAACTTTATTACAAAAACATGCCGTAAAAGAAACATCACAGCCTATAAACACTAAAGGTGAGCAATTAAACCACCGACATCACACAAGGAAGCTTACCTCCAACCACTCGTAGTAATCTAACGATGGAATAGAATCCAATCACAGAAGATAATCACTACGAAAGCATTAAAGGGAAGAAACTATCTATAAACATCTCAAGATTTATGGATACAAGATAGCAAAGATATTGTACTATCAATGGGGAGACCGCATATTTAATCCACGGGTGAAATTAACCATACATGGGAAGGATATTCGAGGAACCACACATACCCTGAAAAACAACGGGAAAACTGCCACAAGTCCCGATAAAGGCTATACAATTCACAAGGGTTAAAATAGTTTGAATAAAGGCAACAAAAACAACAGTCAGTTCAAAAACTTTTTCTTTGTTCACTTTGTTTTTATTGGTCGACAAATACAGATTGGCCACGTTTGTTATATTCGGAATTTGAATAAATAAATATTTTTTCATTAAATTAAATTTATAGTCCGTCCCGATCTTTAAAGTAACCCTTGGACCGCCTCGAACTAGCAGACGGCCCGAACTCTGTTGTTTGGTCACCTGTTATGGTACCTTGGGATTGACTGTCCTTTACCAACAGTCCACTTGAAACACTAAACTTGCACAAATAACATTTCATAAATATCAACACAAAAATATGTTGTAATGCAATGTTCATTAGATAAACACGTGCAAGCAGGCAGGCTTTAATGGAAAAATGCAGTGTGTTTTGTATATCAATTTGAGACACTTTGGAGGTCATTCCGAATTTTATTGACATGTGCATCTAACCGCCTTCTGACCTGCATTTGACCTGCTTTAAGCTGGTTTGCATTCTTATCAACTTGAATGGGAAGCGAAGCAGATTTGAAGCGCACATAAACATGTCAACACTGGCCCAAATACTGTTAACTAATTGCAAGCACGTTGGTAAGAGGGGGTGAGAGAATTATGAAGAATTTCTTTGAATGGAAGAATTCCCAGGCAGCAATGCCTATGCTATAAAAATGACATTGCTATCAAAGCTGGGAGGAATGCAATTCACTGTTCTGTTTTTTTAATCATATCGTACATGCCCTTAAATACCTAATGGGAGCAACGATGGAAACAGCAGCTAGTGGTGGAACAAATACTAGATCTGCCTTTCATCCAACTACATACAAAGGTGGGAAGAATTATGGCCATCACCAAGCCTGGGGCATGTGGGTCGATACTAAAGTGGTGTCCAAATGGGGTTGAAAGAAGCAAATTGTCTTTGTTAGTCATCAAACAATATACAAAATGTACTATTTGAAGGTAATAGAGAAATGTGAAATTGTTCTTTCACATATTCAAATAACTGAACCTTGTTAATAGTTCAAAGACCTTTTGCTTATATTAGATTTGCCATAATACTGTATATTCATTGTCCCAGGGACTGGGCGATGATTGGATGGGAAATCCAAGGTTCTCTCCATGCAATCTAGTTCTTTTGGTGTAGTTACATTTATATTGCAAGCTGGGTGACAGACTGTGTGCAAGCTGACTCCCCTGTCAGTCCAGTGAGAAATAGTCTACGAGGCCACAGATCTGTTTTGTCACAATCTTCTGAGCCAAGCCTGCACATTCAATCCTAAGGCGAGTTTGTACTCCGTGCACTGGCGATGTTCAACCTCTCCATAGGATTGAATGGAGAGCAAACAGTGCATGCACAACCTGGGATCAAGATTTCATTGGTGATATTTTGTTGAATCAGAGACAGGATAGTATAAGACTGGCAGGGGACTTCAGGGTATTATCTGCATTTATATTATCGGGACTTACAATATAAGTGTAACTACACAAAACCTGCAGTTACACTTAAACTTTCTAAATGGATAATGAATTGCTGTGCTTTACATACCCTGATTTATTTATTGATTTTCATTAATTTTTAAAGGTGCATGTAACCTCCTTCTGACCTGCAAGAAAGGCTGGGCCTGCGACAAGGTTTAAAGTTTTATTTTCCCATGGCAGCACTCCCTGACATTAAAATACTTTTAAAAAAAATAAAACTATGACTAAAAAAACAGATCAGGGTATTAGAATTGTTCCACTGTTACTATCTTTAGGAAAATGAATAATCATTTCAAAAATGAAAAGGCCTGTATCTATAGTAAGGAACCAGAAGTTTCCTTTTATTTTCCAGACGACCAAGATCTGGCTGACTGCTATTAGTAACTTGGTCATTCTAAATGTATATACAATAGACTGCAGCTATAGAATGCCTCAGACTGTCTATGGTGAAATACTTACCAGGCCCCTGAAAAGAGTGAAAACAATGGCACCTAATAGATATAGAATCAGAGCCATGTCTACAGGTCGCTCAAAGATTCCTTTACTTTGTGCAGCCTCCACCTAATAAAGAAACAAAAATATTTATATTGAAGACAGCCATGGGTTTTCTAAGCCACACTGGTCAATAAGCAACTCTTACCTTTTCAGCAGGAAACTTTGGAAAAGCATGACTTTCTCTGAATATCCTTATTCCAGCCCATACAGGGAGAAATAGATATGGAATATTAAGAATGAAGGCAGGACGGATTTCAGTGCCATACTTTCCTGAAACAAAAACAATGTCTAATAAATTATTACAGTAGGAAAACATGAACCATCTTACATGCCATAGCCAAAGGGTCTTGCTGTCTTTGTACAACTGAACTGACACTGATTGAGTGTTGGGTCTACGGAAACTTTTAATTATAGAACAAAAAGAAATACTCTCCCAGAATCATCCATCATTTATCCTAAAAGTGACAGGTTTATATCTGTCCAACCATTGTGACATTTCTCCTACAAATCAGAAACAACTGGATCTGAGATAAGCACTGACTATTTTCAATGACTTTTTCAATCAAACTGCTAGCTGTGCAGGATTTTACAGAGCTTGTATTCAGTGACACGGATGATATAGTAAATTCTATTAAAATAGAAAAATGTTAAGTGTTTTAATTCATCAACAATGATATCGGTATATGTTCCAATGCCATTAGCACCAATTGAATAAGGAGCAATTTTACAGTAATAAAGCAGTCTGTAATGAACAATTAACTTTTCCTCCACAGTTTATTTATTGTATATATTTTCAAAATAACAGCAGATACATTTTCATTCACTGATTCATGGATTTGGCAGAAAAGATCTCTGAAAATGGACAGAAAACCTTACATTGAGAGCATTAATATAACATTAGTTGGCTTCATACTTGCAGAAAAGGTTGTCAACAGGATTGAATTAAAAGGTAGCTCATAATTCTTTAATTAGAGGCAGACCAGGGATGTAGCTACAAAGTAGAGAACTGTCTGCTGGTGGGTCAGCGTGAGACAAGACTATGCCCTTGTCTCCTGGCCCAAACTGCATCATGACTATTTCTATGAGTGCAATACAAAGAAAAATAGCAGTGGGGATGTAGCTTATTTCTGGATGTTTCATGTTATCTGTGCAAGTGTGTTCTTTTATTTGAAGCTTCAGGAAGGCTACCAGAGGGCAAAATAGAATTCATGGGACAGCAGAAATAATTAGAATGATATGCTTTTAAAGGTGTTTATTGGGAAGGGACATGACGCAAAACACTGGGCAAAAGACTATTAGCTGGATGGAAAATACTAAACCTTGAGAAATGTGTTAAACCGTATTAAAACCCAAAAGCACAAATGTTATAAAGTGCAGTGTACCAATGCTTACCAATATGGTGGTTGCATCAGTTTTAATTTATTTTCACCTGGTGATCTGGCAAGTTATTCGTCAACTTCCTTTAACAGATCAAACTGCCAAGCAAATGTAGCAGATAGAAGGCCGAAACAAACCATTTAATACTGACAGGGATGCTCACAATGGTTAGCGGATATTAACTTATGTAAATCCTTTGTCCCAAAAGAAAAAAAGTGTTAGCTCTAATAAAAAAAAGTGTTGTCTGGATTTTGGATTAAATTTGTTAGCCAAGTCCTTCTAAATCTGCATCTAAGACCACCCTCTCCACAGGCTAATAATGGTAATAATGCTGCTGTCCAAGGCTGTTGCTCCTCCATAGAGTGGAGCCATCTTAAGACAGAAAGTGTGTTACTGGCCGTATCACCAGGTGAAAATAAAGGAATAAAAGTCTAAAAAAATTAAATAAGTTCAGCCATCACAGGTAAGGATTGGTAAGCTGCAATATATAAAATTTTTGTTTTTAGGTTTAGGCTGCTTGGGGCTGCACATGGATGGAGGAGACATTGATGCTCCCCCCTCCCCCACCACCACCTGGAGAGGAAGAAGAGGGCATGAGGACAGAGCACATCACCACCGTAAGTCCCTTTTCTTTCTTACACCACTGACCTTCCCACTGCGTCACCTTACTGACCTCCAGACTGCGTAACCTTGCTGACCTCCGCACTGCATCACCTTGCTGACCTCCGCACTGCGTCACATTACTGACCTCCGCGCACGGCGTCCCATTACTGTCCTCCACGCACTGCGTCACATTACTGTCCTCCACGCACTGCGTCACATTACTGACCTCCACGCACTGTTTCACCTTACTGACCTCCCCACTGCGTCACCTTACTGAGCCCCGCACTGCGTCACCTTACTGACCTCCGCACTGCGTCACCTTACTGACCTCCGCACTGCGTCACCCTTGCTGACCTCCACGCACTGCGTCACATTACTGTCCTCTGCGCACTGCGTCACATTACTGACCTCCCCACTGCGTCACCTTACTGAGCTCCGCACTGCGTCACCTTACTGACTTCCGCAATGCGTCACCTTACTGAGCTCCGCACTGCGTCACCTTACTGACTTCCATGCACTGCTTCACCTTAGTGACCTCCGCACTGCATCACCTTACTGACCTCTGTGCACTGCGTCACCTTACTGACCTCCGCACTGCGTCACCTTACTGACCTCCGCGCAATGCGTCACCTCACTGACCTCCGCGCACTGCGTCACCTTACTGACCTCCGCGCACTGCGTCACTTTACTGACCTCCGCGCACTGCGTCACCTTACTGACCTCCGCACTCTGGATGGGCACAGTGGCAATGGAAGAGCCAGATTTGGGGGGGGCTTATTTTCTGGCAGTGCCCCTCCCGAGACTAGACTCTGGATCCGCCCCTGCCCGCCCCCCCTACTGCCTCAGGCGGCATATAGGGTAGGATCAGTCCTGCTGTTCAATATTAAATGTAAACTACTTTTTTAAAGTAGCTAATGACAGCAAAAGTATATGTGACTGCTTTTAAAGCTTTCTTAAAGGGCAAAATAAATAGCCAACCATAGTCAGATGATGATAGTGGCGATGACATTCTAGCACATAGGGTATGTGTAGAAGTATTGCATTTTTGTTTTTATATGTGGGTTGTTATGAACTGCGCATCTTTAACTTATGGCTTATGTACTGCATGTGGCATCAAACAGATCCGAATTTTACCCTAGAAAAGACATGCAATATTGCTACGGGCTCTTAAATTATGAAATGTTATAGCATAGTGTGATCTAAATACAAAAACTGTAAAGATGAATGAGTGTTATTTGTTTTTTAAATCATTAACCAACTGGAGACAGACAGGTTCACAGATACTTTCCGATGAGTGAGTATATATTATTTAACATGATGGATACTTTATAGCCATCCTAATGTGGATATATCCCTGGATGCATGACCTGTATTGCAGAAAGGTCTGACAAGTGATAGATGTTGGACTTGTTGTCTTACCAATCACATTCCCAGGCAGAAACACCACCATGCTCATGAGTAGAGAGCCCAACCAAAAAAGTCCAACTGCTTTGTAGTTTGTCCTACATAGGGAGAAGCAGACAGATCTTATTTATCAAAAAAACAACACAGCTGTAGCATTAGAAATATGAACCTTTAACTGCTTGAAGACCAGGTGTTTAGATCCCCTACCTGGCCAGGCCATTTTTCAGTGTTCAGCGCTGCGGTACTTTGACTGACACCAGTGTACTTTCACTGTTTAAAGATGATCAGTTTGTAGTACTGAGGCTAAAGGTATGGTTTCTATAGTTATGCTTACTGACGATAAAGAACCATCAAAGCAGGTAAAGTTATATCTTTTTCTTATACCGTATATACTCGAGTATAAGCCGTCCCGAATATAAGCCGAGGTACCTACTTTTACCCCAAAAAACTGGGAAAAATTATATCTTATCATTCAGATATTTACAGATGAATTTAGTGTGTATGGCGTGGGGTTTTTTTTAAATTTCATTTCTGGCAGTTGAACTCTACAAGACCTTTAAAGCAATATTAAACCTTCATTTTTTTTCTTTGTATGATTATGAGGGTTAGACTTACTTGGAACTGTTTTTATTTTTTCTTCTTTAAACTTTATTTCCTTGCTCTCTAGTTGTCCCCAAACTGCTGGACACCATCACCGCCCACCTCCACCCCCTTCCCCCACGTGTGCAGGTTTCTCCTTAATTCAGAGAATGCATTAAGGTAAAAAAACAGCAAGCCGTTAGTAATAATCTAAAGCATATATAGACCAAAGAAATTAAAAATGGTATATGTTGCCGCTTACCAGCCCTTAGATGTGGTGGATGCATTGCTTTTCATTTTTCAGGCTTTGTTTTCCTTTTATTTTAACACACTTTCTTTCCAAGGGTGACAAGACTGACTCACATGCACTGTTTCTATAGAGATGTAGTGTTGTCATCCCAGGCTGCTATCCTGATTTGCTATCCTGATTTGTATTACAAACACCTTCTACTCTCCTCATCCCCATAACATAGAAGTTTTGAAGATGATATCCTTAACAGTCCTGCTGTTTTAGTTATTTAAAGACAAAACAAGATTGTCTTACCCACGAGCAATTCCTGCCAGCATAGCCAAGTAGAGCAGGTAATGCACTGTCCCATCCCACAGGCAAATGAGCATTCCATGCGCAGTGCGGAGGTATGGCTCCCCCTAGGGGACAAAAAAATGTATATATTCTCTAAGAGCTTTTAGGCATTTTAATACAGGTCAGCACATCAAAACATGGGTCAACATACCATAAAATGCAAAAGAGCAAATTGTACCCTACTACTAACTCGTCCACCACACAGGACATTATTCAGTCAACTCTCTGTATCAATAAGTTATACTGGCAGTGAAAAAGAATGTACATATACATTACAACAGAACTGAATTGTTTTCTTTCAATTATACCCAATGTTACCATTACCAAATTTTGATCCAGCAAATTGACCTGACTGCCTATTAGAGAAGGGGACCAAAGTGGAACTTTTTTTCTCCTCCTGTGTGGCAAATTATTGGCCGAGTGGTTTTGCTGTGCCCTGCCCTGAGCTAAAACTGCAGAAGCTGTGTGAAATTAAACTTCAGTGACATGAACCAACCTTTCTAATTATGTAACTTGTTGAAGCTAATAAAATAAGAACTGGGTAACGGTTTACTGAAGAACTGTTATTAACTGCTCATATACACCTAATTGCCATTTTCCTAACCTAATCACATATCAATAAAAAGAAAATAGGTTTGAGAAATTAATTTTGGAAAAGCATAAAATTGTGTCCGGAGTTTTGGAAATGTAAAAATGTAAAAGGGTTACACACTTTACAGTTAAAATCATTAAAAACTCAGAAATTGAAACTCTGATAGGTGTATTGGCTATGGACATTTTCAAACCAGTTATTCCTACCTCTTTCATGTAAAACTCCATAAATCCCTTTATGTAGCCATCTTCTTCTAGCCATATTATTAAGTCAATAACACTTGTGAAGGAGAAAATCGCAAAAACTAAGAACAATTAAACAAAAGGGAAAAAAATCAAATTATCAAACAAGTATTTTGTGATCATTTATGGTAATGTATCTATAAATTTGCAATATAGCTGAGACAAGTGAAAATAACACATATAGTTATCACTAAGGGTTCATGCACAATTGGCTTTGCATATAAAAGACTGCTGATTTGCATCATTATGTTCTTCAGTTTTGGTCAAGTTTTTTCAGTATGTGGCAATACTTTCTTATATTGTAAGGAAAAAGAAAACAATCTGAAATGTATCAAAGGAGAGAATTTAGAACTTAGTGACTGCAGCATATGAATAGGAAGATTTTACGGCTATATATTGTCAGTAGAAAAACTAACATCATGTGCCCTGGCCTACCTCAGGTCTATTAATGACCTGTACCCATTAGTCAATGAAATTATGATAATCCCTAATTACTTCTCAACATGCAATTGTCTCCTTCTCATGGCTATAATGAAGCCACCTCAGAGCTATGAACTCTGAGCATTAGGTTGGCAATCGGTGGAAACAGATCCTTTCATTTAATGTCTGGAGTTTAGTACTGGTTCCAGTCAGAGGTAGCTGAATAATCTAAAGTTGGCCATACATAGAGGGATGTGAACCTTTATCTATCTATACCCATTTAAGAGCCCAGACAGTTGTTCCCAACAAAAAATGCAGTGCAGCATTATTTTTGCAGAATCATCAGAGAACAATATGCTGTTTGGCATTTGTGATTACTTTTCAGGCGTTTCTCCATGTGCCCTGATATTACAGTCTATGCACTATATAAAGTTGTCTTCCTGCACAGTCCTGGCAAGATTATGTGGAAACATTATCCATGCATAGCCACATTATTATGCATCAAAGATTTTAGCCTCAATTTTACCTAAAATTTTAGGTCACACAACTGATTTTTCTTTTAAATGGTCTTTTTTTTGATAGCAACATTATATTTTATACAATTTTACAGTACAGCATAAAGTAAACATAAACACATTGTTAACTATACCGAATATAAAAGGAGACAATAATTACTCCGCTTGTCCACTTGTCATGGGTTTGCAGTTTAATTAAAAAAAGAAATAGGCACAAAAGCACAGAAAATGAAAAACATACTCTGAAGCAGAGAATGGACCTTGCAACTCATAAAAATGAGAGTGCAATGCAAAGTGAACCTGAGGCCTCCTACATGGTCCAAAGTAAAAAGTAGCAGGGGATAACAAAGACCCCTTTAACAATAGGTCCCTCTGTAATGCAAAAAAAAAAAAAAATGACGAGGGCTGCTATGGTCACTCTGTTACTGAATATCCTACCTTCATATTGGCCATTAAGTATGAGGGGAGTGTAAAGGGACAATTATAGTATGACCATGGCTGCTCTAATTACTTTTATGCATTATAAAGTGACCTAGGTGTCCAATCAATTGTAAATTAATATGAAGATTTGAAGCTTGAATTTAGCATGTGAAGAAATAGGCAGCCAGGACAGAAACTGACAGAAGGCAATGGTAGTAGAAAACTTGATATAGAAACGGGGATTAGTCTGGCAGCTCTATTTAAGATTAATTGAAGTGGTAAGATTACATGAGTGAAGACCCTTTTAGTAAAACAAAATTACAAACATGAGGCAAAAGGATTAAAACTAGTGCACTTCTGAATAAGAAACCTACCTTTGGGATAAACACCGACTGTGAGCTTTATCTTTTTGTCCAACATCAGTGCCTAACTTCACAAATGTACTCTTGGCTAAGTGGGCACAATTTCCCACAGAAACACTCTTGGGGGAATCTATCAAAACTGGAGCAGACAAAATCTGGAGCAGTTGCCATGTGCAACCAATCAGATTCTCTTTTCAGTTTGTTTAGTTAAGATTTGAAAATTAAAGAGAGAAGCTGATTGGTTGACATGCACGGCTGCTCCAGATTTTGTCTGTTCCAGTTTTGATAAATTACCCTCAATATGTATTTGCTACAGGGGAAGGGGCATTAAGGCAAATGTGCTGCTTTGCCCTGCTTTGCATTTAGTTATTTGTTGCTGAAAATGTATCAAACAGATAAATCCTAATAGTTATTTATAAATGAATTTAACAAAATGAAAAAAATATATATATATATATATATACATAAGCTGCACTGTAAGTACCCAGCGACACATTTATAGACACTGATGCCAAATATGCTTACTCTCAATCTACATCACTCCCAACTTTGTATGCCCAATTCTCTGCTAAGAGAAGTGTTTGAAAAGCATGATCCATCAGTCTTACCCTGACATTATGCTCCATTCAGGTTCAATTAATATAAGTAATGATATGTTCAAAGGCAAAGCCATCAGCTTCACTATAAATGCCAACAAAACTGAATATTTACTAACATGCAAAAATGAAATTAACTGATAAAAATGTGACAAGCTAAAGTGTAGAAAAAGCTGACGAGTAAAAAAAAAATAAAGAAAAAGATTACATTTTTTTAAGAAATGTTAGGAAAGGCGCTTTGGAGAGCTACTTAATTTTATAGCACTTACCATAAAACAGAGGGTCCTGGGGAGGGTTTCCTTGTGCAAAGTAATATAACAGGACCAGCAAAGACAGAAGTACTAGCACTCCGAGAGCAGCTATAGCAACTGGGCTAAATGATGGAAAAACAGGTCACACAGAGGCACTTCTTCAGTTTTAAGATTCAAGACATTCAGAGACTCATTTTATTTAGACACCAATGTACTGAAAACTACTACAAAACATAAAATGACCTTAAGAGTTTTACATGTATCTTACAGGTACAACACTCATATAAATAAAATACAGCTGATGCTTGCATTTGTACTGAGCAGTCTTGTAAACTGCATTATTCATAGGGGATAACAACTAAAGGGTATATGTGACAATAAAGCTGTTCAGAAAATTGCTAATAGTACCAGAAAACGGTGTGACTAGGCAAACATCATCAAGGTTACTCCATTTAACTAGAAATCTATCCATTTTTTGTTGTGGATAGAAAGGGGAAAAGGTAGAACCATTTACCTGTTTACTGCTGTCTGTACACAGATTGGGAAGATTTCCCCTCATGTCCTGTTCCGGAGACACAACAGGAAGTGAGAGAAATCTCCCCAAAAACACTTTTCACTGGCATAGACCTTTCACATCAAAGAATGAAATATACCGTGGTAGTAAGAATCTGCTCAGTCAGTGGGTACTAATACAGGATATGTCTACATGAAAGCAGACAGCATATGCATGTGGTCAGTTGAAAAGAATCTGCAATAAAGCAGGAGTATTCATGGGAAACTTACTTCTGCCATAGCCACACCTTGAAGGCCTGTTTTTTTAATCTCATATTAAAAAAGTGAAACCCTCATAGGCAAGGTTTGTGAACCGTAAAATTAGATGTATTTATTGCAACTACATGCTTAGTTCCCCCACCAGGCTGATAATTGCATTCAGTCCAAATCCAACGATCTTCACCGTGTGGTCCCACGCAGAACTGTTCAACTTTCTTTCAGAAAATGGCCGCCATTTACTGCACATGCATACCGCAGCCCTACTGCAATAAGAAAATCTTACTCAAAGGGCCCCCAGTTGTCCTTTCAATATTGGAGTTCTATCTCTACTTGTCCCATTGAAATTGCTCAGGATAGCTTGCAATTATTTTTATCTAGACCATATTTGATCATTTTTGGTCTGTTTGACATAAGGAAAGGAGAAGTCATTGAGGGGCGGTAAATTTCCCCTGGCTTTCTATCCTATGTACAGGAATAGCGGTACCCAGACCGGGTTTTCGGGTTGACTTTGGGTCTGAATAATCCAGCTCGGGTTTTGTGTCTCTCACCTGGATTGTTGATTGCTTAACGATTGCTTATCCAGGTGAGATTCAAGGGGGAAGGCTGAAGCATGATGTTGCTCTGGCCCGGGACTCAGAGAGTAGTCTGAGAGAGCTACAAGTCGGATGGTTGTGAGTGGAAGGTTGCTGAAAGTCCTTTTTGTTTTGTGAGGTGGCTGAGATAAGCTCACCCCCTGGTAGATGGGAAACCTGCCTGTTTAGTCAGAGCCTGGATGGCAAGGATTTGTTTTCTGTTTTATTTTGTTTTATTGCAACCTTTTAAATAAAAACACTGACTGCAAGTCAGATAAACGAAGGACTTTGCTGCCTGGACTGCCTTTTTCCCAGGGAAGGTGATCCCCCATTTGAGCTATACCCCACACATCTGTTACATTTAACAAAACCCTTTCAATGGTATATCTGAATGATAGGTGCAAAAAAAGCACTGATCTTGCCAAAAATCCAGCCAGCTAACAGCTTGCTGTGCGGCATTGTTATCAGTTACATTATTTCTAGATATTTCTAAGGTGTACAGGACCCACCCATCTATGCTTTGGACAACTATGTTTTTTTGACAGCAGCAGGTCTCTGTAGACCTGACCTAGAGTGACAACCATAGCTCCCTCCATGGATAGCGTGGAGTGAATAAGCATTGTCACCCTAGGACAGTAAGTGTGTTGCTGGCAGCATCATCAGGGGAAAATAAAGGAAAAGCATGAAACAAATTCAACCACCACACTTAAACTTACATTAAACTCAGGAGTTACATTTTAAAAATACATTCAAGTACCTTAAAGTGAAACTATACGCAGGAGTTAAACCTTATAAATGCATTCAAGTACCCCAACTATTAACAAAACTGTATCTTGAGGATCACTCATCTGTAGATCCTCAAATCATCTCTGAACTCATGCCCACACTGTCCTTCCTTCTGGAGGGTGGCTACTTTTGTTCTCCATGGTCCCTGTGTGTGTTGTAAAGTATCCACCGCTCCAAGCTCGTCCTGTGATAGACTACAATCTCAATACAAATAATTTAACAAAATGAGATTGTAGTCCATAACAGGAGCAAGCTTGGAGCGGTGACTACTTTACAAAACACACAGGGACCATGGGGAATAAAAGTAGTCACCCTCCAGAAGGAAGGACAGTGTCAGCATCAATTCAGAGATACATTTGTGTAAATAGTTAGGGTACTTGAATGCATTTTTAAGATTGAACTCCTGTGCTTAGTGTCACTTTAAGGACTGGTAAACTGCAATATTGTACAGGTTTGTTATTGGGTTTAAATACACTTTAAAGTCTGTTTATTAGCTCAATACTGAAACTAAAGTGTTTACAAAACTGGTTTGCAAATGCTGTGTAAAGGTTTGCTCTACATTTTGCTCTTTCACGTGCTGTTGCCCGTATGTTAAAAGGTCGTAGAGCGAACATCAAACTAAACTCTGCCTGCAATGTATAAAGTACAACCCAAGCATACACTGCGTATGTACTGCATTTTTCACATCAGTCCATACTCCCAATTTATATTCTGTTGTCCCGAATGCAATTACGCACACAAGGTCAAAGGTTAGAGGAAACCAAATAAACAAAAAGTAGATTTTTTTGTTTAAGGAACCTGAGGTACCTGGAGGTAATTCAAACAAACAGAGGAATAATGCACAAAGCTATGCAAATGGTACTCCTTGCTGGTACTGCAGAACAACAGTGCTGCAAGGTCACAGTGCTAGCCACTGAGTTACCATGCTGTCCCTCATAGCAAGGTAACACGTACAACACAACAAATTTGTCCGTGTGGACAGCAGCTTTTTAAATTTCTGTATGCAATTCCCAGAACAGAAGGCAAATTGGATTCAAGTTCTGTAAAACTGCCACAGCTACTAGGATCTTTCAGATAATGAAAAAGTCCTAATTTGGACCCTATTACCTCTGATAAAAGCCAAATGGGATGACATTATCTGCCAGTCTCCTAAGATACAAATTACAATAATGACAAGGATTTATTTCAGGCTGAGTCTGAGATCAAAGTATACATATGGCAGTAATTAGTCATCCCCTTGCAACTGAAATGCAAAGTAATTTCTGTCAGTTCTATTTCAAGTAAACATATTTTTAAAGGGGAGCTTCCTAACATTTATCCATTACAAATAAGTTTATCACATGGTTACTGTACATCCCTTCTGCTAGTGCAGACAAAGAAATGTAATCTAATAGATTCTTCCATCCACGCTAATTAGTATAGATGGAGGAATTTTCACCTGCCAGCTATTGTATTAGAAAGTCAGCACCCGCAGCTGTCTGAATACCCATAACATTTTCAATCGGATTGGATGCAATTACTGACCCATTGACAACTTTCCACCCAGCTACTTAAATTTTCAATTGAAGTTTGTTGAGCTGGGCGGTGCCCAGAACCACCTATTCGAAATTCAGCAGGAATCGATCAAAGTTTAAGCGATGGCTTCTCTTACGGTAGACTATAAAGTCTACTGTATAGGAAACAGTGCTATTGATATCAAAAGCTTTATTCCTTTCATGTTCATAAATAGTTTCATCCAAAGACAGACTGGACAGTATGGTGGCTAAATGGTTCGCACTCTTGTCTTGCAGAATTGATTACTGTTAGGATGCGATCTGCAAATCTTCTGTTTTTTGTTACTACTCACATAGGTATAGGTTATTACAATTTAAAATATACTGGTAGGTAACCATCATCTTACAAACCTGCCCTTGGCCTGAATAAGCTACTACACAATGGTTGGTTGCATTAAATAAGGAGGGTAGGGAGCTAAGCCAGCAACCTGAGCTGGCACCAGAAACGTCAAATATGCTGCTTGATGCACAGTAGAACAGGATGGTACCATAGATAAATCTGTGTTTATGTCAAGGCCGTTTTAAATCATACTCCTGATTTTCCCACTACCTCTGCCATGGTAGTCAATCCCATGCTCCTACACTTTTCTCATACAAAACTGTGTAACATTTTTTCTTTTTTTATTACAAACTTGGAAATGGAGATAAGCTACGAAGGAAAGGGAGACAGAAGCAAGCATCTCAAAAAAAGAGTTGATGGGCACCAGGAACAGAGACATATAGTAAAATGGCTATGTATGATATATTATTCCTTTTTACCTATCATTTTATTCATATTTATGAAATCACTTCTATATTATATAATACTATATAT